CCAAAAAGAGTACCCTCCCCCCCCCCCCGACATTTCTTCTCAAGTTATACTGTGAAATAACATGGCAAGAGCCAGAATAAATTAGATCATTACAATTCAATTACTTAATGACTCCGCCTCCCACTCCATTCCACCCCCACAGCATTCAGTTCCAATTTCTTAATAGCGTAGTGCATTTGGGAAAAGAAACTGGGAAGAATATAGACTGCAAGGTTTAAAAAGTCTACAGAGAAAGTACTCTTAATCCTTACACACTCTCTCTCTCTCTCTCACACCCCCCCCAAATGGATAACAAGGAACATGAAGGGTCGTTACTTCAAGTTTTTTGTCTCAGGGCACTCCAACACTGAGAATGCTTTTTCAAAAAGCCTGGAACACCTAGAAGTTCACTTCACTGGGTTTCTTGGACAAATTGAAATATTTCCAGGTACAGGTTGCTATGAACCCTGTCTAAATTGTACCAAGCCTAACATTTCAAACCATGCCAGTAGCAGTAAACTACTCAGAGGTCCAACGAAATCCTGTTGGCCCAAAGGTTTTTTTGCACTGCCCATTCCAGATTGAAAAACTGCCCCAATCATCTGTTTTGCTGCATATTCATCTATGGGGGTGGGTGGGGGAGAGTTCTTTAACCAAGTCCCAGGCTCAGGTCAGCGGGGCAAGAATGATTTGTTTATTTTATAGACAGCTCACATTCTCTCGTTCTCCCAACGGGGGGGTTTTGTTTTTATTTTTTTAATGTTATAGAATCACGATCTGAAAGCCATGAAACCTGATTAGAAAGGGAATTCCTTTGCTTCACGAGAAATACGCTGTACACCTTTGGGGAAGTTCACTTAGGTGCTCTGTGTAAGTGTTGTGTCAAGGCCTACAGCTGCACACAGAACCAATTGGCCATAAAGCTAATTCTCTGCCCCCCCCCCCATGCCTTCCTTCCAAGGTCACAGCACCCAAAAATAAATAAAATCAGAAATGGGGCACTTCTAAGCTCAGCCTTGTTTCTACCTATACTATGGAAGACTCGACCAGGCACAATTTTAGTTTTTAATTTTCTAAACAGAAGTCAGTTTGAAAATGGCAATCTCTCTTAGGATACGATGCCCTTCCTATGAAGCATCTTTCAGGCCCTGGGAGGGGGGGATATTCTTTTTTCATACCAGGCACCACTGCTTAAAAAGAAGAAGAAGAATATAACAACGATACACCTGTAATAAGATCATATGTTCAATTTAAGCAAGCAAACACTGGTCTGCTCCATTGTGATGAATTGATTCATATGGAGAAAAGGCAATTCTTCAAAAACAATCTGGGCCAAGCTTGTGATCCGGTACAGCAGCTAATTTGTTCCTGATTATGTTTAAGACCTTAATAAATCTTTCTGCTCCAAGCCTTCAAAAGCTCATGGGAGCAGAGGAATGGGAGACAGAAATGTCTGGATTAAGACAGAAGTTCTCCAAGTGATTAAAGAAAAGGCTTGCTGAACGCAACACAGACGGTGAACATGGCCCATTCTTGGACTGCAGCTCAGCTCTTCTGAGTCGGCACGTCCTGCCCTCTATTACCTTTTTGGCAAAGCTTGCCCCAGTGACATGGGTTAGGAGAGCCAGGAAAAGATTAGGTAGACTTCAGAAAATGATGGGAAAATGTAGCTTAACTACTGTATTTCTTCTCAATTTGTTTTCTTTTTAAGGAAAGACCTGTTCTTAATTTTGGCAGGTCACTATGGAATATTTCAAGTTGCCCTTTTCAAGGAGGGTAGCTGGACTGACCTAAGATGTTCGAGCTCTTGAGGCAGAAAGAAAATTAAAAGTAGCTCAGTGGAAAAGAAATGACCACTGAGTTCGATGCCAAGTTTTAGGTTTTGGACAAGAAAAAGAACAGCAAGAAAAAGTAGATGGTGCAGAACTGGCTCAAACATATTTCTGGATCTCTGCCAATAACCTGGACATGATCCAACAGCTAGAGGCAAGCTGCAAAAAAGGCAAATGCGATTGCACTGATGACACTAGTTTTCCACATCAAGAGAAGTGGCAGTTCCATTTCATTCCATCGTTAGCAGACCTTCTCTGGGGCCCTTAGTCCTTTCTTCATGAAGAACGTAGACCAATCAGAGAACAAAAAACCAATCTGTTTTATGCAGAAAGACTGAAGTCCCACGCTCTCTTGTCCATACAACACAGTTGAACATGTAGCAACTACATTCATGCAGGATACTCTGCTTAGTTCATCTTAAACTTGGTGAACTTCTTGAGGCTTAGCAAGCCATGTGAATCAGGTCCTTTGGTAGTTTAACGATGAATATAGGGTAAGGCTTTGTCTAAGAGAGCCTGGCTTATCTCCTCATTACAAATTGGATAGGGCATGCATGAAATTGGCAA